TAGTAAGTAGGGCTATTAAGAGATTTTTTTTTTTTTTTTACCAATTATCCAAATAAGAAACACTGTTCTAAATAATGCCGCGAGTGGGGCTTGAGGAAGTGACGTCGCCTGCGTCTGCGCAGTGCGACCTGATGCAGCCCCTGAAGTGAGAAATACTGCAAAATAATAATAATAACGTGACTAAACGGGACGAAATAACGTTATAACATTTCGTTTTGTCTCGTTTTGGTCAACGGAAATGAAGAGACATTTTAGCATAGTTTTTATTTTGTAAACCACATTTAGTCTCGTTTTTATTCGTCAACGATATTGCATTATACATTTAATTATAGTCATCGTCACATGACCAGCATTTTCGTCTCGTCTCGTTTTCATCACGTGATAAAGGTTCGTTGACAACGATATTTAGTCATCGTTTTCGTTGACGAAAGCAACACTACTGTTCACTTGTAAACGAAAAGTGTCCTGAACTCCATCTTTATCAACACTTTCAGCCTCAGTGAGTAGACTGCCACATCGCTCGGTGATGAGCCTGTGACTGACTGTTTTTGCGAAAGGATCACGGCTCAAAACGTCAGCTACAGTGTTCTTACTTCCAGCAATATGCTTAAGATCAAAAGTATAAGCAGCAAGCTTAGACACCCAGCGCTGTTCACAAGCATCGAGTTTAGCCTTTGTTAGTATATAAGTGAGTGGGTTATTGTCTGTCCATACAGTGAACGTGTGGCCTTTTAGCCAGTGACTGAATTTTTCAGACACACTCCACTTTAAGGCTAAAAACTCGAGCTTGTGTGCTGGATATCTCTTCTGAGAGTTACTTAAGGACTTGCTTGCGAATGCAACAGGGCGCGCTTTTTCTTCGCCTGCTGGTATCTGCGATAGCACAGCACCAAGACCTTCAAGAGAAGCATCAATTGACAAAATTAATGGAAGAGAAAAATCGGGATGTGCCAGGACCACACTCTGCAGCAAGCTCTCTTTCAGTTTAGAAAGGGCATCATCACACTCTGGGGTCCAGTCAGTTGGCTTCAGCTTTCTGTACGTGCCTGCCTTAGCCTCAGTTTTGACCTTTATCCTCCTTTTCTGCCCAGCAGTTAGGGAGAAGAGTGGTTTGGCAATGGAGGAGCAATTAAGGATAAAGTGCTGGTAGTAGAGGATCATTCCCAAAACAGACTTAATCCTCCGTACAGATGGAGTGCACCCATCTTCTTCCATGAGGTCAGCTTTTGACAGTTTTGCTATGGCTTCAACCTTTGAAGGATCAACAGAAACACCATTCCCATCGATAATGTGGCCTAAAAACTTAACGGACGCTTGCACCAGATGGCACTTTTTTGGACTTAATTTGAGATTGTGGCTCCTCAATCGTTGGAATACTATCTCCAACCACTCCAGAGCTGCAATCTCATCAGGTGCAAACACCAGTAGGTCGTCTAAGTAACACAGCAGACTGCTAAAATTCAGGTCCCCGAAGATACTTAACATCATACGCATAAAACATGCTGGGCTATTACACAACCCTTGAGGCATCCTATTGTACTCATGGAGACCTACTGGAGTTGTAAACGCGGTGTACTTTTTATCTTCTTCAGCCATGGGGATGTTATAAAAGCCTGATGTTAAATCCATAGTACTGAAGAGAGTATTTCCACCCAAGGCAACGAGACAGTCCGATTGGTGTGGGAGCGGGTGCGCATCCTTAATGGTCCTGGCGTTCAGCCATCTGAAGTCCGTACAGATCCTTAAGCTGCCGTCTTTCTTCCATACTAAAACCAAAGGCGAAGCATACTCGCTCACTGATTTACGGATTATTCCTTGCACTTCCATTTCTGAGAGAACTTGGCGTAATTTTTGATAGTGAGCGGGTGGTACACGACGGTATGGAAGTCGGAAAGGACGCTCATCAGTTAAGTGGATGCGGTGAGCAAAACCTCTGACCTCCCCACAATCCAGAGCATGTTTGGAGAATACATCATTGTAGTTCTCAAGCAACTGGACAAGCCTTTCCTTTGCTGTATCACTGGCAGAACATGAGTCAATATCAATGTCACTGAGGCTTACGGCCCTAAGTCTCTGTTTAAGATCACCTGTGACACCAGGTCGGGAAATTTCCTCGGATGTGGGCACCTGAGCATGACTGAAACCCTGCAACAGCTCAAAATCTTCCACGGCAAGGCACGGGAACACATCAGCTAACTTACGGTTCCTTTTGAGGGTGACCGGATTGTCTGAAAGGTTGGTAACTTTTAAAGGAACCCAACGATCTCCCCACAGAGGCGTAACAACACGGCCTATGATGATGTCCCGTGGCATGGTTCTGGAAGAAGTGGCCTCCACGATTACAGTGCTCCCTGGTGACATGGCAGTATTACTCGGCAGCCTTCCCCAGACAAGGTGTTCTTGTTTGGCCATTAGAGTAACTGACTGCTGAAGCTTAACAGTCCCAACCTTGTCTGGTGAATCTCCACCTCTCCAGCGGCAAGTATTCGCCATGACATCCAAGAATTGTTCACATGATGAAGGTGGCTCTGAAACACTGTTAGACAGAATCCTCCAGTAATCATCACTGATCTTCATTTGGTGCATGAGGAACTTAATCACATTGGTACCGATGATTAAATCATCCCTTTGTCCTGGTACAACTAGAAAAGGCACCAAACATCTCTCACCATACACTTTGAGCTCAACTTCATACATGCATTTTGGCTTGGTTGTTTTACCTCCACATCCTATTAACATTATTTCTTGTGTCGGTGAACCCTGAGGTGGCTGTGCAAACTGGTTGCCAGTGCTGGGTTGACTATCTGCACAATTCCTCTTTATGTGACCAGGTTGGAAACAGGCAAGGCAGAGTCGTTGTCGTCGACAGTGTGCTAAAGTTGAATGCTCATGAGAACGGCATACATGGGTTATCCATCTGTTGTCCAAGCCTATTTGAAGCCTCCTCTGCTACATCCACAGCCTTATTTAAACGGACCCAGTACTCGACTGGATTTTCTCCCGCAGCAGGTACTGTGCCGTAGAAATCAGCTAAAGGCATAGAGGAAAATCTGACCTCGCTGAAATGCTGTTTCAGAATGTCAAATATCACTCTGGGGTTCTCAGAGGGTCTTAGGGAAGTGTTACTGCGAAGGGTTATTCTAACAATGTCTTTGGCTTTACCCATCAGCCTTGAGAGGATTTCATGATGATGCTCCAACACTGGTATGCCTCTTTTCCGCAGGTAAGTGTCCACTAAATCCTCCCACTCATGCACACTGAACTTATCAGTTCCATTTCCTCGGAAAACAGGGGGGGCTCTCTTACTTCAGACTGCATGACCAGTTTAACTCCTGTCAAATTAAGTGAGGGTGCCTCTGAGAATGACTGACCTGCACCTAAACTTCGAGTCTGTGCATTGCTGGTTTTTCTTTCCCCACACCTTTCCCCACTTTGAGCAGAAATTATAGTCTGTCCTACTTCCTGAGCAATATGTGTTATGAGGTTATACCATGCTGCATCATTTAAGTCTGGGCTGACTGATAATGGATTACTCCTTAACTGACTAGGTGTTTGAATGCATATTTCCCCCATTTGAAGACTGTCCCAGATTACCCAAAGCATGCTGTCCCACATTCTCAATCATATTTGATAATGTGGGATAACAAAAAAATGTTTGAAAGAAAAAAACTAAAACACATTTTTAACACTTTAATACGACTTGTTGCTTGAATAGATCACAAACATAATTTGACAACAGCATTGTCTTATTTATGACAGATTTATGTCCTTAACATTAATCTAGTTAGAATCCTGTCACTGACCTTTTCATGCAATTCCCAGGAGTCACGTGACATCCATGCTAAAATTATAGTCCTGTATAAGTAAAATAACAGGAAATAAACACACTGGAGCTAAGGTGTCCCAGATTACCCGAATTCACTCTACTATGGACTGTCTACAACAGTAAAAGAACCAAAACACCAGAAGACATAAGAGCAAATAAATATAACAAACAATAGGGTAAAAAATGACAAACTATTTCCATGTTTTGCACCTTTTTTATGTATGGAAATCACGCTTTCTTTCTCACGTTCTCTCCCACAGACGCACACAGTGCAGACACACAAACAGAAACTTATCATCAGCGCTGCCCTGCGAATTTATCAGTAAAAAAGTTTCGCAGCTGAAAGGCTACATGACATTTCTCAGCAGCGAGGTTCTTGAAGCAGTTCAACTTAAAGATTCGCTATTAGTAGACGCTGCTGCTGAACACTGCTGAGAGACGCACAGACGCAGGTATTCACACGCGCTTAATCTCTCTCTCTCTCTAATAACTGCATTAGCCTGCATATCAATGGCCCAAGCCTCTGTTATTAGCTCTAAAATGACGTTTTGGAATTTGGTTTGGGATGAGGTGCTTAAAAAATAGTTCAACACATTTCAGGACGGAAACATGTCAAATATCTTGAAACAAATCATCTGACTGAACAATTTCTTGAGGTGTGGTTGTGACACCAGGCCGTTAAAATTATTAGAGAAATAATGCACTCTCGAAGTGGGAATGTGGCCACGACGTCTTTCTCCATTCTCAAACAAATTAAGACATTTGATTTTTATTGACTGAATGCAAGCGCTTATTGCAATAGAAAACACTGTAATGGTTTCCACTGATTACGAAATATTTTTGTTTGCTGTTACTGTACAACCACAGCTGCATGTGTTGATGTTGTGCGAAGGCATCTCCACAATATTATTGAAAAATACCACTGTATTTGAAGGATACAACTTGAAGAAAATGGTAATTTGCATGTTTCCTTTTTAAAATAGGGCGGGTCAAACGATTCTGTTTACACTGCAATAAATATAGGCTAAAAATATCTAAAAGATGTTCACCTTATCAGCAAAACTGTATTAAATTTGATTTGAATTGTTTAAAACATCAAATCAAATTAATATCAAATTAAAAGACTTAAAATCATTGTTTGAAAATGTATTATATAACATTTGCAGTATTTAAGATGTGTTGGCCTGTCGTTGGGAACCTGGGAAACACTTACACCATGGCTCTGCTCGCCTACACCTTCAGTCTGGCTGGAGAGACCAGCACTCGAGCACAGCTTTTAAATGCCTTTGACAATGTTGCCATTTCTGAAGGTGAGATTCACTAGTCTCTTGTTTGAGGTGTTCCGCTTCTTTGGCATCAACTTTCTGTCCTCGGTCTCGTCTTAAGGCACTAAGCTCCACTGGTCTCAGACTACATCTGGTGACACTCTGGCGGTGGAGATCAGCTCCTATGTGCTGCTGGCGGTTCTCTCTGTACAGCCTCTCACGACTGCTAATCTAGGCTATGCTAACCGCATTGTCAACTGGCTTGTGACCCAGCAGAATCCTTATGGAGGCTTTTCTTCCACCCAGGTGACTGACTACCAAACATGAGCACACATCATATCTGAGTGGAGGTTTTAATCTGGTGCTTATTTTTAGGACACTGTGGTGGCTCTTCATGCTTTGTCTCTGCTCGCCGTTGAAGTGTTCAGCCTGGAGGGCTCCAGCACTGTTACCGTACAGTCATTGTCTGTGGCAGGAGAGGTTTACAACTTTGATGTGAATCGAGACAACCGGCTGCTGTATCAGGAGAAGCCGCTGAAGAACGTTCCTGGCAGATATAGTGTTCGAGGGAAGGGCTCCACCTGTGTGTCTATGCAGGTCTGAACCTTCCCCTGGTTAACTTCTACCTCTATGCTCGTCCTAGTTCCTTGTCATGTTTGGTTTTGTACTCCCAGGTTGCATGTTTCTACAACATCCCGACACCCATTAAAGCTTCCAGAACACTTGGCGTTGAAGTGAAGGTGGCAAGAGACTGCAAAGTACGTGGAGCAGATCTCATGTTGAACATCACTGTGAAGTAAGAACCACTTTGACCTATTTGACCCTTAAAGCATCTTTACACAGCTGCGCTAAGGCTGCTCTGTGCCTGCTCATTTCTGTGACCATTCCACATGAAAGCCAGTCCAAATCATGTAGTTCTGACCCACCTCAGCCCCTAATATCAGTGCACAGTTGGAACTTCTGCGTAAATGCCATTATGCCGCCTCTGAGCAGCATTAACCCATTTTCTTTTTTTGAACTCCCCTTCATTTAGGTACAATGGTGCAAAACCAACTACCAACATGGTTGTCGTTAACGTTAAACTCCTGTCGGGTTTCACAGCGGATACCTCACTGGTTCGTATGTTTTGATGAATTGTATGTAAAGTCCTAAGATGCTTGAAGCTGCTTCATGTTAATGGACCTTTTCCTCAGCTTGGATCTCCACTGGATACATTTGCTCCATTAGTGCAGCGGGTTGAAACTGGAGATGACCATGTGCTTATGTATATGAAAGAGGTGAGATGTGCACTGGGTAATGTAGATATTATTTCAGCATGGCTCTATTGTTTTTGTTAAAAAGGTAATTGTCAGTCTGCCTGCCTGTCAATTAGGGGCCGGTATGTAAGAGCCATATTTCATATTTCAAAATGTATTTTTTCACATTTTTATTATGTAAATTTAGTACAATAATTGTTCTTGTTAAGTCATTTACTGTCGAATATATTTATTTGGTTTATATTTGTTCTTAATGCGCATGTTCAGTGACGTCGTTTTTTGTAGTTCACGCAAAAGGATATTGACGCACATGCACAAGTTCAGACGAACGGTGGGAGAACACAAGCTTTTGACCGTTTCATAATTATATATGATATAGCATAAATTTGGCTTACAAGTACAGTATCTCTACAAATAAGTTGTTGAGAAGATATCGCTGAATAAGAGGATTATGCTGTATTTGAGAAATGTGATACTTTATTGAATTGGAAGAATAAACCACCAAAAAAGGAAACTATGGACTTCGAGTGATGAACACAAGCTAGGAAGATACGCGTCAAAACTTGTGGAATAATTAAAATATATTCACATGTCCCGTACATGTAAGTCAAAAGCTTTCTCCGTTGTTTAAACTAAGAGGAGTTATTGCAAGTGCGCACTTAACAATACGTTAGAGGAAACCATGCATGCGAAGTCAGAAGGGCTCGTTTGTTGTGGACAAACAACGTCGCGCAGTATTGTGTTTAATGGAGTTATGAACGAAGGGAGATCGATCATCTTACTGCTTGCAAGAAGTGTTAATGAGCAACTTCGATCGTAAGTGAATTTGCACGCTTTGAAGTTTCATAAATGGCGGACAACAAAGACGACGAAGATGATGCTATTACGAGGTCTGAACGCAAGAGGGCGCTAACTGACAAGGGTTTGGAAGAGAAGCTTCACAACAAGATAAACGCCAGAAAAGGCAAGTTGAGGCAATTGACTGCAAAATCAAACGAGATTGAACTGC